GGGCCAGCCCCATGGGACAGGGCCGGCCCCACAGGACCAGGCCAGCCCCACCGGGACAGGGCCGGCCCTGCTCTTCGCTCTTCCTGTGACTGAATAATACAAGCTCATCAACACGGAGGATCTAAGAGCAGGAGAGCCGAGGGCAGCTAGGGGCCTGGGGCCCAAGCTGACAGTGGCTCCAGAGATACAGCTGCCATTGGACCTCCCCATGGTTTGTAAAGGGCTCTGAGATGATGACTCCTGGGTTAGCTAGACACGGCTCTGTCTGCCATCGGTAATGGTGGTAGTGATGATGGAGATGATGAGGATGGAGACGATGGGGAGGAGGAAGAGGAGGATGGTGATGATGATGGTGGCTCAGTGGTTGAGCCTGCACCCATGAACCAGGAAGTCATGGTTCGATTTCCGGTCAAAGCACATGGCTGGGGTTCAGGCTCGATCCCCAGTAGGGGGTCTGTGGGAGGCAGCCAACCGATGATGTTTCTCTGTCACCAATGTTTCTATCTTTCCCTCCCTCTCTCTTCCTCTCCCTCTAAAAATCAATACAAACATATTTTTAAAAAAATGCAGGTGCCTGGGCCCACCCCAGAGACTGACTTAAAAAAAAAAGAAAAGGCTCTGTCTAGAGAGGTTGCATTTCATGACGTTGGGGTTGGGGTTTTTGCTTCACGGATGGTTGCCAGGGAGGCGGTAGTTCACAGCCAAGGTCCCCCTACTGCAGAAGGTGGGCTCCTCGGACTCAATCCACCCTCCCTGAGAGCGATGGGAAGGGAATCAAGGGGACTGTTCCTTACACGCTACCCACACAGCTCACTAGACGATGCATCGGGGTTGCTCCCTGAGCGCTAGGGGCTCACGGGAAGTCTCCATCGAATCAGGGGCTGAGAAGTGGGCTTCCCCAGGTGCGAGAAGCAGCCTCAGGCAGGAGGGCTCTGCGGGCGCCTTCCCTCGCTGCGCAGGGCCTGGGTAAACAGTTGTTTTCCGGAGCCTCACGGCCGCCGAGTGCCAGCTGTCACCAGCCGAGGTGACTGATTCATCGCCTCTGCCAACAGAAGGGCAGCTGCTGGGGAGCTTGTCAGTGTGGGATTAAAAATGATGAGTGTTAGACGGGCCGCGGGAAGGAGAAATCCCTCCATCACAAAACTGAAGGGGAAGGAGGGCAAAATGAGCCCACGATCTCGGGGGGCGGGAGGGGGCGTCTCCGAAAACAAAGTGGCAGCGATTAGGCCGACACCGGCAAGGAACGCTGCGACAGGAGCCCGTGCGGAGGTGGGTATGTCGAGCACCTCATGTTTCTCTAAACAGCAAGTGAAATAACAGCCGGAGACGGTTACTCTGTGCTCCTGTGAGGCCATTCAAGTGCTTTTCAAAATGATTAGGATGAAAGGAGCGGCTGGGTAGGACTGGGGAAGGCAAACGGATGAGTCGCTTCTAGTCTCATCAACTCTGATTTCCAAAGGCTTAATTGTTTCCCACTCTGTCGAACCCTCACATCAAGGAAGTTGGCTCTTAGCAAAGCTTACAAGGATGATCAGCAAGAAAACCTTCATAATGCTCTTCCCTGTCTCTCTTGTCACCTACTCTGTCCTTTGTCAGGCAAACGACTACAGACATTATCCCCGGGTGCCATCATCACCATCATCAACATCGTCATCACCATCATCATCACCACCATCATCACTATCCTCATCTTCTTCCTCCTTGTCACCATCATCACCACCATTATCACATCACTATCATCACCATTCTCCTCCTCCTCCTTCTCCTTACCATCATCACCACCATCATCATCTCCATCGTCATCTCCATCATCACTACCACCATCACCACCATCATCACCACCATCACTATCATCACCATTCTCCACCTCCTCCTCCCCCTCACCATCATCACCACCACCACCATCATCATTTCCATCGTCATCTCCATCATCACTACCACCATCAACATCACCATCACCACCATCCTCTTCTTCCTCCTCCTTGTCACCATCACCACCATCATCACCACCATCACTATCATCACCATTCTCCACCTCCTCCTCCCCCTCACCATCATCATTACCACCCTCTTCCTCCTCCCCCTCACCATCATCACCACCATCACTATCATCACCATTCTCCACCTCCTCCTCCCCCTCACCATCATCATTACCACCCTCTTCCTCCTCCCCCTCACCATCATCACCACCATCATTACCACCCTCTTCCTCCTCCTCCTCATCATCATCACCACCATCACAATTGTCATCATCTTCATCATTGTATTTATTATCATCATCACCATCGTCATGATCATCATCAAACTAAAATGCAAACCACACGGCACTGTCCAAACTCAAGCCAGTGGACATTTACAGAAACAAAACAACAGAATACGTACCTTGGCCCTTGTGGTTGACTTCTTTGGCAGCAATGACTTTGTTTATAACCGTCTGTAGGAAGTCATTCTCCCCTGCCACCCTGGGTGAAAAACGGGATGACACGTTCAGCGGCTTGTGTCGAATGGCGTCGTCCAACGCGAGCCTGGAGGGCACGGGACGACCAAGACCACAGGAGACAAAGGGGCACAGAGACCCAGAGGTCACGGTAACAAGGGAACACAAGAGATCATCGTCACCGAGTGCGAGAGAGTCATCGTGAGTCAACGCACGACAAAGGACAGGATAGGTGACAAGAGAGACAGGGGAGAGCATTGATCAGGAAAATGCCGAACCACACGAGAACAGTACAGCAAACGAGGTCGACCCTATCCCCGGGAAACAAGCGGGCACCAGACCACACCCCCTTCTCCTAAGCAGTAAAAAGGGAGCTAATCGGAAAGTACGCAGTTGGGTGGCATTTAATCCCAAGGAAATTTATGGACATTCCTTCCATTTCAATCATTCTGAAGCCTAGCGTAGTAGGGCAAGGGGCAGGTGGTTTGAAGGGAAAAAGCAAAATCAAGATTTTTTTAAAAAGGATCCCTGCCACCACTTGGGTGGCGCTCCAAAGGGCCGTGTACTCAATGGGAAAAGAATGGCACAGTCTTGGAGACTCCAACGACCATCCCTGGAACGTGAAATTCGTGGCGTAATTATGAATGTGAGCCCTGGCCAGTTGGACCAAAAGGTCGAGGGTTCCATTCCCGGTCAAGGGCACATACCTAGACTGTGGGTTTGATCCCCGGCCCTGGTCAAGGTGTGTGTGGGTGGCAACCAATCGATGTCTCTCTCTCATGCACATCAATGTTTCTCTCTGTCCCTCCCCCCTCCTCCCTCTCTCCTATTCTCTCTCGAAATCGATGGGAAAAATATCCTCGGGTGAGGATAAAATAATAATAAGTATGAATGGGTCCATCAATGTTTTCAGGGCTCATGAATGAGGACCCTTTCATAGACGTGAGCAGAGCAAAAGGCGGTGTGGCACAGCCGGGACACTATGCAACGAGCGAGGAAATCCGTCGTGTGCACCATGTTTAACCTCATTTCTAGGACCAAGGGCGAGTGCTATTCATCACTGAGCCCCATTGCTCAGGAGCTGAGGACTGTTTACACTGACTCCCCCAGTGACCAGACAGACAGCGAGAGAGAGAGGGACTGCGCTTCCCTTCCCTAAACTTACCCTGCACCATCATACATCAGTTTTAATGGAGCAAAAAAACGGTGTCATTAGCATGCATTTCCCAAAGAGCGGGTTTCATCGCTTATTCTGCACCTAAAAGCTGCGGTTTGTTCCTAACGCTGCAAATATCCACTGTACGTGATCAGCCTTCCTTTGGTGGAGCAAGGAGTTTGAGTTTCAAATCACAGGAAGAGCTCACCCTGTAATAACACTTTGTAAAGTGGATGTCTCGCTAAAAGGCAGAAAAGGATGGTGGCACTTCACTGTCCTGAGTAGCTCATAACGCGTCCCAGTGAAACTGAGATCAGCCCATCTACAACTAAGAATCGAATCCCCTACATTTTCAACCAGGAACACGTGTTTTATTTTCTTTTCTTTGACTTTTCCCAGAAGTCGCGGGCAGGCAATGGGCGATTCCCACTAAATGCTACAACTGGGCCTCCAGACACTCCCAGGTCTCATATACACAACAGCATTAAAGAGAACTGGGCAGCCCGGCCGGCGTGGCTCTGTGGTTGAGCATCGACCATGAACCAAGAGCTCACCGGTTCGATTCCTGGTCAGGGCTCATGCTGGGTCCCGGGCTCCATCCCCAGTAGGGGGCATGCAGGAGGCAGCCGGTCAATGTTTCTCACTATCCTTCTCTCTTCCTCTCTCTCTCTAAATATCAATAAAAACATATTTTTAAAAAATAAAGTAAAAGAAAACTGTCCTGAGTAGCTCGTAACACATCCCAGTGAAATTGAGATCAGCGCGTCTACAACTAAGAATCGAAACCCCTAGCTTTTCAGCGGGCAAAGGAAGCAGCTTAATATCATCATCTTATAAAGGTGTGTCTTGTATTTTACCTCCATAGCTGCCCGTGTTCAAAAATGACATCCCCCCTGTGCACGGAGGAATCTTCCAGATTGTGCAAGGGCTCCTCTGTAACTAGATGCACTGGGTGTGATTCCAGAGCAGCTCCGCCCCATACAACAGTGGTTCTCAACCTTCCTAACGCCGCAACCCTTTAATACAGCTCCTCATGTGGTGGTGACCCCCAATTTCATTGTTACAAATTGAACATAATTAAAGCATAGTGATTAATCACAAAAACAATATGTAATGATATATGTGTTTTCCGATGGTCTTAGGCGACCCCTGTGAAAGGGCCGCTCGACCCCCAAAGGGGGCGCGGCCCACAGGTTGAGAACCGCTGCCATAGACTATTCTGCAATGATGGACATGTCCCATACCTGCGCTGACCCATATGGGAGCCACAGCCTATGGACACGTTAGCACTGGACACGCTAAAAGGGATGCGTGTGACTGAGGAGCTGAATATCTAATTGCATTTAATTTCCATTCACTGAAACAGCCCACATGGCTGGTGGTTGCTGGACTGGACAGAAAAATAGAAGCCACATCGGGCCTCGGCCTCCTGTGGGGAGATTCCTAGAGGGGAACCGCCCTCCAAGCCAACACTGCAGGGGTTCCTGCTCTTCTGTCGAAAAGACTGCAGCGCTGTCTGCTGAGCCAGGCTTCTGGACGCTGTCCGACCAGATCACCTACCTAAAGAGCTCCCCCTTCCACTCTCAGCTAGAAGCCGGGGTCAGTCCTGGGCTGAGTGGGCTGGTCCGTCGGGCAAGGGTTGCTGGTGCCAACGGAGGTGCACCCCACATCTGCTGCCCAGCCCACCCCGGCCCGGGACAGGCCTCCTGCAGCCACCCACCTGCCTGCAAACCCCCGCAGCCAGCACCTGCAGACGGTGTGCAACTTCTACAATAAAACCTGTCTGGGGTCTGAGGCCACTAAAGCCAAACCAGAAAAGAGGAGAAGAGACAGAACCGGGACAGGCCCTGTGCCGGTTCTTCCTTGTCATCTATTCTTCCGAGAGTGCACACCCCGGGGAAGCTGTCTGACACGTGGCCTCGCCCACTCTAATTCCTCCTCCTTTCTGGGCCCCGTCTGAGGGGCAGGGTTGCCCGCAGAGTGACGGCTCACCATTCCCTGGACACCCTCTTGCGTTATCTCCAGGGAAATGACACCAGGCCTTTCAGCCTTTTCTACGGGATCTGCCTTCACATCGGAGCATCGATCGAACGAGTCTCCTCCAGGTGCCTCCCAAGGCCCCCGCCTCTCTACAGACATCTGTCCGAACAGACAAATCCTTCAAAGTGGGTGCGGATCCAGGCCGCTGAGCAACAACCGAGACAGGAGCGCCCGCGGCCTGAGCACGGGCGTGGAGGAGTCATTCCTCGCTCTAGGAAAGCATCCATCATTCTCTGGTTTGGTCTGCTGTTTTAGGAACAGCAGCCTCCTGTGAGGAATCTGAAAGCACTGTATTTGGAGAATGTGAATTGCTACGAGAATAAATCAATTACATAAAGAAACATCCACGCTCGGAGGGAATCGAAATTCTACGTGTCCTGCGTGATAAGGCGATTCCGGGATCACATGGAAAGTATTCTACCTGCAGGACCAACTTCGAACCCAGGGTTCTCTGCTGGCTACAAAAATTCCATGCGCTACAGCAGTGACTACACGGACTCTTCGTTATTTCCAAAGAACCCATCCCTGCGTGTGCTGACCGGACCGACTTAACCATGAAGATCACTGTCACCAGCACACGCTGCTCTGGGGCACCCGCTGCGCATGCGGAGGGCTCCATACTTACGGCTGGAAGGGGATGAAATGCTGTTTGTCCTCGTCGTCTACTTTTCCATTTATTATATCTGTTACATCCATCACTGGGGACAAGAACAGAACAGGGATTGTTTTGCTGACATGCCATCATCAGAGAAAAACAAACAAACAAACGAAGGAACAGCAGAGCGCCCGCTGACACACAGCGGGGTGAGCCGCGTGGCACAAGTTTCTTACAGTCAGATCACTCATCTCCCCGTTTGAAAGATGAATTACAGTCTCCGAAACACTGGCCAAGTGGGGGCGGGGCTCCAAGGGCAGAGTTCCACATAATCAATCCCTTTGCCTGGGATCCGACGGGCCCCCTAGCAGGGCACCTCCCGGGAGGACTTTGTGGGTTGGAATGTTCTAGAAAAGCGAGTACCTAAGCCAGGGGTCCTCAAACTACGGCCCGGGGGCCACATGCAAATACAAATATTGTATTTGTTCCCGTTTTGTTTTTTTACTTCAAAATAAGATATGTGCAGTGTGCATAGGAATTTGTTCATAGTTTTTTTTTTAAACTATAGTCCGGCCCTCCAACGGTCTGAGGGACAGTGAACTGGCCCCCTGTTTAAAAAGTTTGAGGACCCCTGACCTAAGCCCTGGCAGGGGTGGTGGAGGACCTCAACTGGGATGGTGATTCCCCGAGCCCACCTTCCCGTCTGTGGCTGGAGCAGCAGGTCGTGGGGAAATACAGCTGTTACTTCGGGGTCTCTATAGTCTGGCCAGGTGGCAAATACATTCAATTGTGTGTGTGCGGAGGGATCTGCGATGGAAGGGTTCGTAGAGGGGTGAGGCCACAGGGGAGAAGTGGGGCTCAGGGAGAGTCTGCGGGGAAAGGATCCTTTGACCTTTGTCTTTATAAAAAATGTAAATTAAATGCACAGATTGTACTCTAGTTCACTGAGTTTTGAAAAATGCACACATCCATGGAAACGCCACGCCAATCAAAACATAAATCGTTTTCATCCCACACACAAGTCCACATGTGGAGCTGGGAAGATCCCACAGTAATCTACAGGAAGGGAAAGCTGCCCTGGCCTGTGGGCTCGATGTTGGCGTGTCCGCCCAGGCACCAACGGGTCATGGGTTCCATTCCCGGTCATGGGCATGTACCTGGGTTGCAGGTTCGATCCCTGCCCTGGTCAGGGTGTGTGCGGAAGGCAACCAATCAATGTGTCTCTCTCACATCGATGTTTCTCTCTCTCCCCCTTCCTCCTCTCTTTCTCCCCCCTGCCCTCCCCCCTTCCATTCTCTCTAAAAAAAATCAATGGGAAAATTATCCTTGGGTGAGGATTAACATAAAAATAAACAAGGAAGGGAAAGCGGTCGGCCTGGCTGGGATGGACTGGGCTTGGGGAGTCGGTGCTCTCACAGGAACTCATCACTGTCCTGGTGCCTGACAACGCAGCCTTCACAGCAGCGGGTGGGAAGGGCCCCCGAACACACACTGTCAGTGACCGCTCTGGTCACTTCAGGGAAGCCCAATGCATCAGAGGGAAGAATAAAATATCTCCTTAAAACTACCCTAGAGGCGGCAAAGAGAAATAGGGATCCTGAAAAATTACAGGTGCTTCAACCATAATATGAGATTACCCATAAGAGGTGCGACAGGTTCTGAAAAATAGAGGTGCAATGTTCATGCACGTATTCAGGAGGTGAGGAATGGAAACGTGACAGGATTCCTGAATCCGTGCTCGGGGGACCTCGCAAAAGGCAGCCGTACCCTCAAGATTTCACTCACCACGGAGTCCAGTGCAGACCCCTCAACAGAGCAGACCCCACACCAGGGCAGACCCAACGCCAGGGCAGACCCCACACTAGAGTAGACCCCACACTAGAGTAGACCCCACGCCAGGGCAGACCCCACGCCAGGGCAGACCCCACGCCAGAGCAGACCCCACCCCAGGGCAGACCCCACGCCAGGGCAGACCCCACGCCAGAGCAGACCCCACGCCAGAGCCGGCTGGAAGTAAACAGGGGCATGTGCTGCCTCACAACGCATGTTACTGAATCTTGGGAAGGAGTCAATCATTTACTTAAATGGCTGGATATGTTTTTCCAGAAAAATCCAGGCAGAGCACAGAGGGCTTTCAGGGCAGTGAAAACTGGGTCTGATACTTAAGTGGGGAGTACAAGTCATTGGACATTTATCAAAACCCACAGGACGGGCAACAGCAAGGGGAGCCCTGCTGTAAACGTGGGCTCTGGGTGGCGAGGGCGCGGCCATGGGGCTCATCCGTGGCAGCAAACGTAACGTGGGGGAGGGGCTGTGAGAGGGGGGAGGCGCTGCCTGTGGGAGGAGGGGAGGAGGCGGAAACATTCTGAAATCTCCATACTTTCTGCTGAACTTTGCTATGAACCTAAAACCGTTCTGAAAACGAAGCCTGCTTAGAGGGGGTTAAAAACAAAACGACAAAACGAAGCTGGGCCCGAGCTTCCTGGTAGCGCAGGCAAGGAAGGCCTCCCTGCTGTTCCTGTGAGAAACCCAGCCACGTGTCCGGAACACGACCACCCCAGCCGGTGTGGTTCAGTGGATAGTGCGTCAGGCTGAGGTTCGATTCTGGTCAAGGGCACATGCCCGGGTTGTGGGCTCAATCCCCACAAGGGAGCGTGCAGGAGGCGGCCAATCAGTGATTCTCCCTCATCACTGATGTTTCTATTTCTCTCTCCCTCTCCCTTCCTCCCTGAAATCAATGAAAATACAAAAAAAAAAGTGAAAGAACCCTCCCCACGGACACATCACAGGAATCCCAAGGCGCACAGAAAGCACGAGGACAGACAGAGGGCTGGGCGGGGCCCTGCCCGGCAACCCCCCTCTGCAAACGGTGAGAAATGAGTGACAGCCAAAGAGGCAACTCAGCAGAGCTTCCCGGGCCACGGACAGCTCTGCTGGGCAGGGCCAGCCGGGCTCTCCCTCCTCCTGGGCGGCCACCGAACAAGACGGAGCCCAGCACAGACACGGAGGCGGAGCCTGTGTCCCCCTGGCTGCTGACCACTCGCTGCCAATTCACTCCTAAGCCAATCCATGGCCAGGTCCAGAAGGCCTGACCACCTCCAAGGCCAGGCTGCCCTCCAGGCTGAGCATGAGGGCCAGGGTGCCCCCAGGAGAGGGGGCCACTTTGAAACCAAGCACCTGATTGGCACGCGCCCCTCGGGCGGCACCCTGCGCAGCCCCTGGCCAGGAACCCACCGGGGACAGAACCGACAGGTTATTTTCTCTCCCACAGAAGAGCTGACCAATGCAGTATCCAGCAGCAGCTCCCCTCGGGGTCAGCGTGATGACCTTGAGACCCGCAAGGACAAGGAGACATGGTTACCGGCCACGCCGAAGGGCCGCCGCAGGCCCGAGGTCAGCTTCCGCGTGTTGTTGTCCCTCAGCTCCATGCGGCCCACGCGGACGATCTGACAGACGAAGCTGATTTTCTCCCTCTTCAGGTCTTTGCTGCCGAGGTCCTAGAAACGTGAATTTCCATACATTATCCGGAGCCCTGTCTCTCAATTCGGGTTCCACTGGGACAGAGGGCGGGAAGAGGCATCGAGACGCGTTCCTAAGCAGCTTTTAGCATTTTAGTAAGTAGCTCCGGACCAGAGAGGAGCTGGGTAACTATAGTCAGTCAGCGTCGGGGGAACCTGCGTCCGCGTTGGAGAGATGTGTGCTGGTAACGCCGGCGGTCTTTGCTCGGGAGATGCTACGGGAAGCTAGGGACCCAGAGGACTTCCGGGAAGGGGGTCATTATGACGACATGACCATGCATGACGGGCATGCCAAGAACCATGTGCCCGTGTGGGGAGAGGTCAGAGCGGGGGTCATTAAACACAGTCATTAGAACGCTGAGCGACTCTACCCAACACCGCCGGACACACTTACAGTGAAAACAGCCCGCAGGTTATGTAATCTGTCTATGTCTTTAGGCAATCCTGAGCTGGACCAGCGAACCAGGTAGTTCTCACTGGAAAGAGAAAGAAAGAAAAGCAAATTAATTTTTCCATCGATAACAGGGCGCTCAGGGCTCAGCCACGCTGGCTTATGGTTAATACCACGGAGGTTCACAGAGCAGACAACCACGGGCATTGAGCAGTATCAACGCCAAGCACCGCTGCCGCTCCATTAACGGAGGAGAAGAGAGACTGCCCGCACGGGGGCATCTGAGATCCCCCCAAACACAACCCCGGGGCGGGTTCAACCCCGGGCGTCTAGGGTTATAATCACAAAGGACCTGTCTGAAAATGGCATTTCAACATTTACTACTTCTAAAGCATGTTTGTCATTGAGAATGACTGTAGTCTAAAATTTACCATTCAACCGGCCACTGTGGCTCAGTGGTTGAGTATTGACCTATGAACCAAGAGGTTCAATTCGAAGTCTGGGCACATGCCCAGGCTCCATCACCAGTAGGGGGCATACAGGAGGCAGCACATTGACGTCGCTTTCTCTCTCATGGAGGTTTCTATCTCTCTAGCCCTCTCCCTTCCTCTCTTTCTAAAATCAATAAAAACGTATTTTTTTAAATAAATAAAATTCCCCACTCACTCATTTACGGTAGGAAATAAACACTGCGTTATTTCACAGCCTGACAAGCCAAGTATGACAGAGCCTGTGTCCGGAGAAACAAAGCCCGTATGTGAAGTGAGCGTGAAATCCACTCACGCGGTCTGTTTCCTGGTGCACACTCACTTTTTAAATTTTGAGTAACACGCGTGAAGGTACTGGAGTTTTACCCACACACACCACACACACCACACCCACACACATGCTTCAGACATAACTCAAACCATCCTTCTTTCCATCTGGACAAAGAGAAGGTCATACTAAGGGACAAAAGCAAGGAAGTGGGAAAGAGAGGACCACACCAGCAAGGACAGCGTGCCAGACGGGGTTTACTGCGTTTCATTGCATAACAATTAACTGGGAGGCTCCACAGGGCAGGCCCCGGTCTAGACACTGCCCACGGGGACAGTCACAGAGAAGGGAGGTTCAAACAAGAGGATGAAGAGGAGCGTGAGAGTGGGGGAGCCGGGTCTATCGCCCCCAGGAACAGAGGAAACAAGTGTTACTTCCATCTGCAGTCGCTGGGCCCCTGAAACTTCGCAAGACTGAAGCTCTCCAATGTAAAAGACCCATGAAGCCCGGCTGGTGTGGCTCAGTGGTTGAGCGTCGACCTATGAACCAGGAGGTCAGGTTTTGATTCCTGGTCAGGGCACATGCTCGGGTTGCAGGCTCGATCCCCAGTAGGGGCCTGCAGGAGGCAGCTGATCAATGGTGCTCTCTCATCATTTATCATCAATGGTTCTCTCTCTGAAATCAATAAAGATATATTAGAAAAAAAGTACCCGTGTACAGGAGAAGGCTGACCCTGGCCCAGAGCCTGGGCTGCCTGCCACCACACTGTCCCAAAAGCAGAGGGGTCAGCCACTTGAGGGGAGTCTGGCCCGTGGGTCCCCGAGGGCTCTTTGTAGGAGTAAGACATCAGGATGGCACCGACCTGATGAACTTGGACTCCACGGGGTCATAGAGAGACATGAGCACCTCGGCATCCTCTCCGATTTTGCACACCACGTTTTTGAGGTTGACGAACAAGGCCAGGGAGGGGGTGGCGGCGAACTTCGCCTGCCGGCTGATGTCCATGTTCTGCTTCTGGGACTGGAAGTGGAAGCAATGTGGAAAGGCGACATTAGCAACACTCTTCGCCAACCCTTCCCCTTTTATTAATCTCCTACAGAACAGAAAGCCAGGCGTAACCCGCCAGCACACGGGCACAGTCACTTCCTTGTCCCTGAGTTCTCAGAACCGGCACACAGCCAGCGGAACATAACAGCAGCCCAGGTGACAGCCATAGCCATCGGGGCGCAGACGGAGTACTTTCCTCAGAGACCCGCAATCATTTCACAGACCCCAAAAACCTACTCTCTACGCAGGATACCTCGAAAGGCCACGGAAGATGAGAAAGATCACTAAGACGTGTGTTCCTGCCCCCATCGGGCTTAAAATGTCACCCCGACACATAGCCAAGAAGCTGTGCAGAATCAAGTGTCGTTTCCCAGGAGGTGAGAACAAATGTCATTGGAATCCTGCCTCCCGCCCGGCTGGCGTGGCTCAGTGGTTGAGCGCCAACCAATGAACCAAGAGGTCCCCGGTTCAATTCCCAATCAGGGCACATGCCCGGGTTGCGGGCTCGATCCACAGGAGGAGGCGTGCCGGAGGCAGCCGATCGATGTCTCTCTCTCATTGATGTTTCTCTCTCTCCCTCTCCTTTCCTCTCTCTCTAAAATCAATAAAAACATATTTTTAAATAATAAATAAAAAATAAATATAAAAAGGCCCTGCCTGCTAACACCCCTGCACACAGAGGGATGGAATCCTTCCAGGCCATCCGCACCGCGCCTGGCAGCAGGCCCCACCCCGTTCACCACCCTGTGGAGCACGCCGTGTGGCTGTGCTGAGCGGGTCCTTTTCAGTGCACAGCCTGGCTTGGCCGGTGCTGGACTCGTTAGAGCTGAAGCTGTTACTGGGAGCAGTGCCCAGAGGTGAATGGCGGACTGCAGAGCGCTGCGCACACCTTTTCTTCCTGTAACCTTTCCTCCACTTGTTTGGACGCCACTTCATGAGCTCTGAAGAGGCTGATGGTGCTGGTTAGTTCCGGATCCAAGATGTTCCCATCCTCGTCTCTCACCACCAAGTCCAAATCGAGAATTCTGGAACAACAAGAACTCAGAACTTCAGGCACAAAGACCAAGGGCTTTGACTTCTAACACACCTTCAGTCCAAGTAGCTGAGCAGAGAAAAACACCATCAAAAGTCGGGGTCACCCACAAATATTCAGGAAACGTAATTCTGCAAGCTCACTTCCCTGGGAATTCAAAAAATAAATCAATAACAAAAACTTCCATTGTCTTACAGTGAGAAATGTCACAGATCTATCAGCCCAAGTGACAAGTGCATTATTAGTTGCTATATGAACAGTATCAATGGCTTAACGCACCCACACGCTGTATCTGTTCCGGGGAGTCCCACCGCACAGCGTCCTTCTACTTCGAGTCAGTTCTAATCCCTACACTAGCCCATCAGAAGATCTGCAATGAACAGGTTCCGTGTTTCAACGCCAAACATATGGAAGTTATCCACGACAGCAGGAAGCAACTTTCTGGCCAGATGGTGAAATATAGTAGCCGACGGAAACCGTGAGCAGCGTCTGGCCGCGTCTGGCCGATAAAGCTGTCCATCCACAGCTACATGTTTTTTTGGCAACACTCTCTCCCTTTTCCCAAATCAAGCAAACTGGTTTGGTGATTTTTTTTTTTTTTTTAACGATCATTTCTATTTAAGGAACAAAGGTGAGTATATAAAGAAAGGGTTGTGCCACGGTGGTACGAAAACATGAGGATTTCGACCAGTGGTTCTCGACCTTCCTAATGCCGCGACCCTTTAATACAGTTCATGTTGTGGTGACTCCCAATTTGTTACAAACTGAACATAATTAAAGCATAGTGATTAATCACAAAAACAATATGTAATTATACATGTGTTTTCCGATGGTCTTAGGCGACCCCTGTGAAAGGGTCGTTCGACCCCCAAAGGGGTCGCAGCCCACAGGTTGAGAACCGCTGATCTAGACCACAGATGACTGACACTTTACCTTTGAGATTTCCTGCCTGCCATTCACAAGTCTATTGAAGCAGAAAACTGTCATATGTTTTTAACCATAAAACCTAGGAAAGTCTGTTTAAAGAAAGACAAATTTCCACTAGAGAATGTCTTTCATGGGCACAAGGTGAAGAGGAGCGTGGACTTGGCAATAAAGACTCCATCCCGACAAACTGACCCCCGGCTTCTTTCCCTGAGGGCCGCCCAGCGTCCGCTGTGATGGGAGTAAGACCACGCGTCAGGTGGGTTTAGTGTCCACTGCTTGGACAGCAACCACAGAAATCTAACTTTTTCCTTTTAATATCAATTAAGCAAATTCACTGATGGTGAAGCAGGACCCATGGCGGCCTGTCAGGGGCACGAGAGCACACAGGCTTTTAAGCAAAGAGTCCCTGTCCCGCGTGGACACAGCCTCAGTCCCTGCAATGACTACGGCGCCTCGAGAGGAACAGGAAGACGATTTCTACGGCAGCCGTGTCAGCTCTCATTAGTTGTCTTTGCAAATTCTACTGCTTCCCCCAGCCCTGCAAGGGCCCCTGGACAGTTAGTGCTGTGTGGGCGGGGTCGCTTTGAGGTGGGTGGAGTCAATGCTAATGAGTTGGGGAGGGGATCCACTGGGGTGTGGGCAGAGCTGCTAAGCTCCTGGGTTTAGGCCTGGCCAGAAGGTCCAGGCTGACAAAGCCCCCCACACAGAATCAGCACCCTGCAGAGCGGAGCGGACCCAGGCCGGTGCCGACCTGCTGTGCACATCCATCCTGCCACCAACGCCTCACCACCTCCTACCAAGGCAGATGGCCAGACCCACTTCGCAAAGGAGGACACTTCAACTCAGAGAGCCACCTGGAGGAGCCCAGAGCCTGGATTCTGAGCCAGGACCCTCTGCTGGCCGCACCCACGCTCCTCCCAGAATGCCACGTGCCATCACAGGGAGTGGCCTGCCACGCACTTCCTCCTGCCAACCATTCTTTGTGGCTTTCTCAGCAACCACTGCTCAGAGGCCCCGAATCATGAGCAAGGAGCATCTTAGCCGAACAAGAGAATCGAGCCCGTCAGAGACGAACACCCTGGACGCCGAAGCTCCACTGAGGAAAGGGGGCTGGGACCGCCCAAGACATCACATGCGAAGCCGTGTGTGCGTCCCATACGTGCGTTTTCCTAGAAAGAGGGTCCTTGACTTTAATCAAATGGCTTTTGTCAAATGTTTCCCGGAAGCCACTTTAACATCAAACGTGCAACACTGTGCTTCTATTTTATACCGTTTTTCCCTGAAGAAGGACCTAGAGAGCTATGTGCGGCGCCCCGGGCTAGAGAGAAATGACGGAGCGCACTCCAGTTCCTCGGGCAAAACACTGTCTTCCCACCGACTGTGCTTCCCATGAAAGGAGTAAATCCCCTTTGGAAACACCTCCTTTCTTAACTGCATTGTCCCCTCATCAGGTACTCCAGCAGCTTCCTGCAGCCAGGTGGTCTCTGGACATAACTTGGAAATACAATGCTCTCATGGAAAATGACATCAAAGTGCCCACAGTGTAAATCCCCTTTGGAAACACCTCCTTTCTTAACTGCACTGTCCCCGCATCAGGTACTCCGGCAGCTTCCCGCAGCCAAACGAGGCAGGTGGTCTCTGGACATAACCTGGAAATACAATGCTCTCGTGGAAAATAACATCAAAGCGCCCACAGGGTGGGTTTTTCAGGCAGGTGGCCATGAAATGGGTTTCACGTGACAATGTCAAAGATCCTGTATCTAGAACCCATTGGGGGGTGGGGGCGGGGGTCGCCAGGCAAAGGGCAGGCCCTCACCCAGCTTCCTGAAGAGAACAGCAGGTTCTACTGCGCCTCGGAAAACTCCTGGTGTTCGAGATGCAACAGAAAAATCTCCTCCCTTTAAACATGAAAACCACGCCACTGCCTGGCCGTGAGACGTTTGGCTTTATGATAAAATAGGAGTTTAGTCTCCTCCAGGCTTCGATGTTATCGCACCGAATCGCTTAAGCATGAAATCAGCTTCCAAATGAACACACCTGTTTCCATAGTCGATCTTGGCTGTGACCTTCTTCTTCAGCTCCTTGAGCTCGTCCTGGGGCAGCGTCCCGGAGAGGATCTGCGACCGCCACTCGATGAGGTCGTAGATCATGTGCCGCACGCTGCGGAACATCTCCCTGTTGTCTTGCTGCACGGAGGGGGCAGAGAAGCCAAGGTCAACGCTCTGGCATAACCCAGAACTGGGGGGGGGGGGTTTCCAAATACACGTGCAGTGAATGCCTTATAGGATAGAATGTAACTTAAAATGCCGATTAAAAGGCATTTTAGCCCGGCCTGCCTGGCTCAGTGGTTGACCGTCACCTATGAACCAGGAGGTCAGGGTTCAATTCCCAGTCAGGGCACATGCCTGGGCTGTGGGCTCGATCCCCAATGGGGGCGAGCAGGAGGCAGCCAATCAGTGATGATCTCTCATCATTGATGTTTCTATTTCTCTCTCCCTTCCTCTCTTTGCAATCAATAAAAATATATTTAAAAATTTAAAAAAAGACGTTCTGTGGAATGTGGTTCCTACCAGACACTAAAAGATGAAAAGAATAAAAAAGTAATGCATGACCCTCAACATTGTGTCTGCATTGCAGACGAGGCACCTCTGAATCAACAGGCCGACCAGAGCCGGGTGTGCCCGAGAGCCTCAGAGCCAGCCCACTGGATAACGCCCACGGGGCAACCACGGACCCCTTCGGAGTAAGTCCGAGCCTACAGCTCCCGCCTGCCCAGACTGGCATCTCTTCGCAGTGCCCCAGAGCACCAAGGTCCTGCCAACACAGGCGGGAGGCTCCTGCAAGAAGCAGGATCTCAGTCGAGGAGCCAAAAGGGAAACGCAAAGAAGGTGCAGGATCCACACTTCCTCTCACTGTCCACCCATCTCCAGGGAGGGACGGTACAGAGAAGAGCCACAGTTCTGCACCTGCGAGACGTCAACTGGCCAAGGAAACTAGGGACCGTCCAAAGGGAGAATAGCCCCGTGGTTCTTCCTGTGAAAAGAAATCTAGGGGACGCCTGAGTCGGTAAAATTCTAACCCTACGATCCCTATGAAAGATTTAAATGTGATCATCGCTGCCTGTTAAAGTAGCGTCTCCTCCACATCCCTGAATCTCTCGCCCACTACTTCCAGTATGTCACCGCCTTTCAACGAGTTCCTAAGACCCCCACCTCCATCATCATGTTACACACTCACATCCCATGAACTCTTCTTTATGGTATGATCCTGATGTTCATTTATTAAATGAAAACTAAATGGTCAAAATTAATGGTTTACTGAAAAATTGTTTTTGTTCCCCTTTTATTAATTCTCCCGGTTCCATTTTTCTAAAGCCTTATCAACTATCTAACATCCTTAATATTTTGCTAAATTGTCTACAACACAGTAAAGCAAAAAGTAATCACAAAAATAAAAAATAAAAAAATAGCATAAGCATTTATCTTTGGCTTTGTACAAATCCCACAATGTAGGTCCATAAAAGGCAAATAAAAATTTTTTCAAAGGAGCCATAAGGAGCCACTGGGAATGCCTGCTTCAGGGCAATATGGCTAAAACCTTGTCCACTGCCCAGCCCACGTGGCTCAGTGGATGAGCATCGACCTATGAACTGGGAGGTCACAGTTCGATTCCTGGTCAGGGCACATGCCCTGGTTGCAAGCTCCATCCCCAGTAAGGCGGAGGTCACAGTTCGATTCCTGGTCAGGGCACAGGCCCTGTTTGCAGGCTCCATCCCGATTAAGGGGCGTGCAGGAGGCAGCTGATCAATGTTGATGTTTCTCTCTCATAGATGTTTCTATCTCTCTCCCTCTCCCTTCCTCTCCGAAATCAATAAAAATATTTTTTAAAAATAAACAAATCACATAAAACCGTGTCCACTAACACATGAGGCAGCATCCACTAGCTGTTTGTTTTGCTGCATTATTTTGTTTAAAATTTGCTAAGTCAAATGTGAAACGGCAACGACAAAATTGCTCCGATTTACACAAAACATTCGTCGCTAACTGGACGCGATGAGGTCTGGGAGAACATGTGATGAACAATTACGGCAACTGCTCATTACTGTGCGTGTGCAGGAAGCGGCTGCAAAATGAAGACCAAGGAGCCCGCCTGGGCGCAGCTGCGGGGTCTCAGGAAGCGTCCAGATTCCCAGACCCAGGCGCTGCCGGCCCTGCACAGCCCAGCTCCCAGCTCTGAGCTGACAGCATTAGCATATGGGAAGAAAGCAGCAGCTGGAATAGAAATAAGGGCTAACAAAAGGTAATCTTTGCAAATATGAATTTTTGTGCCCTGAGGGAATAGGAAATGGAAGATGCCATGGCCCCAACCTCTCTGCATTAATAAGAAGACTTTTTCCACAACCAGCAGAAATGGACAAAGAAGCCAGAATGGAAACGACCCCCGCCTCTAACAGTCACGCTTAAATCCACACGGCTACGTCGTTTCCTCCAATGATAACAGCCGAGTGGCCAAAAAACAAAACAAAAAATAGTAACCATCTCCTACCAAATCCCTAAATGAGCACCTATTGCAGTTTAAAAGCAGGTTTTTGTCTTCGAGAACAAAATATAAACACTGAGGGTCCGTCGCAAGGACTGCCCAGTCCTTCTTGGAAAGCAAAGCAGCCTGTCCCTCTTCCAACACAAGGAAGCCGAGACCAGCTGCACCCCCACACAGAGCAGGTCAAAGGGCGCACGACCCCCTAAGGCTGAGCAGAATCCGAGCCATGCTGCTTTCTTTGCCTTTTCTGCCTATCGCCTGGTCCCAGGTCTGCTTTTGAGGTTCCAAGGGGGGTTGTGGGGGGGAGGGAAGGGAGGGGGCACACATCGATGGGGATAGAAAAGGCCCAGAGAGACCGCTGTCACTCTTTTAGCTGCGATTCCACGGCCTCTCACCACGTAGAGCTGCCGCCAGATGGTGGACCACTCCCGGAGCGTCGTGGTGACCTCCTGAATGAGCGGCAGGTCGCCGGGGATGACCGTTTCATCTTGCCTGGGGAGAGAGGCGGAGAGGCAGCTAAGTTCACGGCTCCGTAATCCCTGCGAGTGGAAACCTGTAAATTCCAAACCCAGGCCATAGATCAAATCAGCAAACAGAAGAGAAGATTCACAGACAGGGCTGGAGCCACACGTAAGACTACAGGAGTCTCTAAGCGCGACAGGTGGTGTTTGGACAAAGCCTGAGAATGCTTGTCTGTGACCCGCTGTGCAAGCCGTCCACCTCCGATGTCAAGCCCAGACCAAGCAGGAGGGTAACACCCGCAAAAGTCCTCCGGACGTCAAGGTCTGGGAGGCGGAAGGTACCTTCGTCACCTGTACCCATCTATCTCAGACGTGCCCCAAATTACAACCAACCCGTGTGGCATTGAAACGCAGGCTCGGAATAGGATGGCTTCTACATTTCCACGGAGCATAAAACTCATTACGTGATAACGCCGGAGCGGTTACCCGCGGCGAACTCTGAGCCAGGTCACTGCTTCCAAATGGCCGCAGGCATTCCACCTGACCCCAACTCTGATGAGCCCCTTCCCCTTTCTCTCCACCCAACAGGTTAACCCTGACCTGTCCTTAACCCGTGATCTAGGTGAGCGAGCACTGGTGTTTTTGTTTTGCCTTGTTTTATTTTTTTGTTTTTGTGAGTCCTCACCCAAGGATTTTTTTTCTGTTGATTTTTAGGGAGAGTGGCAGGGAAGGAGGGAGGGGGAGAGAGAGAAAGAGAGGGAGAAACCTGGATGAGAGAGACATAGCGATCGGTTGCCTCCTGTGTATGCCCGACCAGGACCAGGAGAAGGGAAGGCGGACGGAGGAAGGAGGAGGAAGGAGATCACCCGTGTGGTCTGAAGGCAGGAGGCTCTGGGCCGGGAGGGAAGGGAAAGGCAGGTGGGTTTGGGAGGGAGCAGTGGAGGGGAGACCGGGCCGGTCACAGCATGGAGAACAGTGACAGGCGGCGGGAAGCAGCGGCAGGGACCCTGTTTCTAAGCTGCCAGCTTCCCCCAGTTCTCCATCCACCTTCCACCAGCCCCAGGCACAGGACAAGGGTGCCTCTGTCCCTCTGTGCCCGTCTCTCTGTCGGGCAGGGTGCGACTCTATTTGCTGTGAGCTAAAATAATCTCTTGTTCGCTTTACTCTTATGCCTCATAATTACAGTTTCCATGTATTTGTTTGTATTCATCAAAATATTTTTTTAAAAATTAATCACCTACGATCTGACTGCTACCCTGTTGCCTATGGAGACGGATGGAAAACACGGATGCCGTCCCTTATTCATTCATTTCCACAAGGGGGTGAAAGTCCCACAGCTTGCCTTCTTCATCGCCCCTTTAATTTGTTTACTTTCAATCCTGCATGCAAAACATCTCGTCTGTATAAAAGAAGACCACACTCCGGCCATCACACGCATGCCTCTCAGTGACTTTCTCCGCTTTCATGGACCTCGGGAGCTGAGCTGGTGCCCTCCACGCGGGGGAAGTGTGGGGCTTGGAGAGGCAATTTTGCAATCAGCCAGAGAGGCGTCATTATGCGGCAATCATCTGATTAGTAATTTGATAACCTACATGAGTGACTGAGAGTGAAGCTGTAGCTGAGACAAACAAGGAAAACATCTGAAGGCTCCCTCTCTCCCCCCAGGCGCACCTGGCTCGTCATTTCTCACTCCTGCCTCCTGGGTTCCCCTGCTGCAGTGCCCTTGTAATGACCTTGTACAACACTGGGATGACCTCTAAAAAACATACGTCACAGCCGGACAAACTGTGTCCCAGTTTAACAACTGGTTGTTCCCCCGAAACTCCACGTGTGCCAAAGCCTGCAGAGTCTTCCGGAAATGCCTGCCGAGCCGGGGGACCGCGCGGCCTCTGCCTGGTGAGGCAGCTCCCCGAGGAAGCACAGGGCACTAGGATGCTCTCCAAAGTCGACAGCAGGTTCAAGGACAGTGACTGCAGGTGGGGGGCTGACTGTAGACTCTTCAAAGGCTCACAACCATGTTGCACACAACCCTAAGTCCCTCTTCCTCCCCCAAAACTCCTGTCACCCATGGCCAGTCACGCCCGCTGCCCAAGCCCCTCGAGGACCCTGCATGGGAAGGGCAGCGAGGCCGAATGCTGCATCCTTCGTGGGAACATCAAGCCCAGACTCACCCTCTTCCTTCAACGATTGCTTCTTTAAGATGAATATATGAGGCAGGAAATATACCCTTTGGGGAGGAAAGAAAAAAAAGACAGTTTTTATTATCAATATGATGATTGACTGTCAATCAAACAACTGTCCCCAGAAAAGGTGGGGGCAATTGGGTCTCTATTAATTCTGCAAACTTAGGGTACGCCTCACGGAAAAGAGCAAAGAAAACAAAGCGTGAACGATGGCAATGCACAGCTTGTGTTTCAACGAGGCCGCTGATCCCTTAGGAAGAAACAGAGGTGATGTGTTTGCAAAGACACGATCCCGGAGGGCGGTCCTGTGACGTCTCCACGGGCCGCACCGCATCTGCACTGCTGACCGGGACACAGGCCGACCATCAGCCGACTGACGCCCACGTGCAACTTTTGGTGACGCTCTCTGATGGTTCCTGACCTCACAGGGCCGAAATGACCACCGACAGCTGCCTGGCCCACGGAGACCTTCTCAACAGTCTGATCCGGAAACTGGTGCATTTCGCCCAGTCGACACTAGGGGAGCACGGCTTACAGGGCTCTCCTCTCCTGGGTGAAGCACGCAGCTGGACCCCACGGAACCCTGAACGGGGCCCAGGAGACAGCGCCTGCAGAGGACACTCGAGGCCGGGCACAGACCAGAAGTGCCAGGAGCCTCACCAAGGAGCGCAGACTCCCTCCTGGAGGGGAGCGGAGGGGAGCACTGAAAGGCAGGGCTGGGCCTGGGGCAGCGCCACACACGCCAGCCGGGCACGGCTTCCTGCGTAAGATTCAGGGCGCACAGCCGCAATCCACTCAGCGGCACGGGGGCTTTGACGCACCTGTTGCAGGAGCAGGAGCTTCTGGTCAGGTGGCCCTGGCACCTGGCCCCAAAAGGGTCGAACAGGGAATCCAGAAACACAGCACCTGTCGTGCTGGGCACGTGCTCGGCCACCACGATTCCTGCCGACCGGGAACACGGCCGGATTTCATATAAAAAGGAACTATCAGCCCGGCCGGTGTGGCTCAGCGGTTGAGCTTCGACCCAGGAACCAAGAGGTCGCCGGTTCGATTCCTTCCAAGTCAGAGCACATGACCGGATTGCGGGCTGGATCTCCAGTAGGAGCCTTGCAGGAGGCAGCCAATCAACAACTTCCTCTCTCATCAATGTTACTATCTCTCTCTGCCTCTCTCTTTAAAAATCAATAAAAATGTATTTTTTAAAAAGAGACTGG